CACTACTGCTGCTGCTGCGACTGCTGCTACTACTGCTACTACTGCTACTACTGCTACTACTGCTACTACTGCGACTACTGCGACGACGACGACTGCTACTACTACTACTACTACTGCTGCTACTACTACTACTTCTGCTACGGCTACTGCCACTACTACTACTACTACTACTACTACCACCACTACTACTACTACTACTACTCCTCCTCCTGCTGTTTCTTGTAAACTTGAAAAACATTAAGTCGCACCAGCTCCAGCTGCTTCTTTAACAGGTTGCGACGACTGGTACATGCGCCACCCGCCAATAACTCCTACAATGACGGAAAAAGCACTACAGTAGCAGCCTTCTCGGGCTTCGTGATGTCGAGCATGCCATTCACTCTCCACTCTTATCTCATGAGTCATGAGCATGACTACGTCAGCCTTTAGCGTACCGAGCCAGCGCCGATGGTTTGTGGACCATGAGGCAGCCTGCAGCACCTCCTGGAGCAAGGGCCGATAAGCACACGAGTTTGCATGTTCCAGTTCTTAGAGCCTCAGCGAGCTGAGCAGTGATAATGAGGAATTTGGGCATCTCGTCAGGCCGGAGCTTTACAAAGTAGTAAAGGCACGAGTCCACGATACTCCAGAAGGCCTGAAACTAATAGAGTTCCCGCGACAGATCAAAGGCAGCATGAAGAAACAAACTCATCATGGAATATGGCTATATAAGATATGAAGAGAAAAGCCAAAGCCCAAACCCCCAAACAAGGCTCTTGATGAATCTCCACGAGGCGGCCCGCCGCGCGTAGTGCCAGAAGCTCTCCACAACAGAGCCATTCAAGCAGGCGCCTCCGAGAGACTACTTGCGCAGCCAGTGACACGATGGTGGTGACGGCGTCCTGGTTGACGATGAAGATGTATACTGAGCTTTTATTAGAAGAAGATTCTGGTGCAGCAATTAAACTGATGAATGACAGCGACGATTCTCAGGAGGCCGACTACGGCGACGAACGATGACGAGGATGGCGATGACTATGATGATGACGGCACTGGTGAATACCGAGATCAAGATACCAAGCTGCGCACGACCATGAGAATGTTGTTGATGATACTGATGCTGATGATCCTGCATTTTGTGACACTTTGCATCTGACACTTGCTGGTAGGAAGATACGGCTCATACTTGTTCCTGTGTGGATTGCATATTCAGAGCCTTGGGAAAGCCTCGTAGCAAACAGGGAAGCATGAGTTAGCATGAACAACTCGGTACCATCCCTATCTGGCCACAGTGCCGCTTGGATAAGACTGTCAACAACTCTGCTTGGACAACTTTACGAGCCCGGCACGCTCCCAGCCCGAAGACATTGCACCTTTTGAGCCCTCACCCCTCGGCTCTTCACATACTATGCCACATGGATCCGAAAAGCCATGCCCTTGATTGCTTGCATCGCCGTTAACCGACACTGGGTGGACAGCGGATGAGGATTGTCCAAGCTGCTAAGGTACCCTATTGCCTATTCCACTTCAGGCAAAACCTACACTGTACCATATCTTAGTTCCTCAATGCAACAACGATTGGCAAGGTAAGCATCTCTAGAAGGACCGGCCAAGTTCTTATGTCAAATTCATGCAGCAAGTGCGGTGATCAAAGCGGAGGAGCCACGTGTGTCCGGCAAATGCAATGCAAGTTCCAACGGCCCGAGGGATGGCACTGGCCTGCCACACCCTTCAAGTGCAAGCTCCAGCATGGCTGCACCGGTGCATCTTCTGTGCGATGTCTTTGTGGGGTTTCAGTGTGTCCGATCCGGCAAGTTGAACGGGATCTGCAGGGGTGCGAACTGCAGAAATGAGACAACGGCATGTGCTGTGCAATTCCAGCTACTCATCACTGGAATGGAAAGCTGCAGGTCACGGCAGCTGAAGGGCAAAAAATGAGAATTAGGTACCTTCTGGTACAAACTGAACAGAAAAAGCCGACACCCGAAGGCACTACAGTCCGTGCCCTCAGGTTCTGTAGATCCTCAATGGAAATGGCAGGGAAAACCTACGGTGCTCCCAACCAGCCCTCAATTCCACTGTCCTCTTACCCTATAAGAAACCCGCCTTAGAAACCACAGCATCTTAAAAACTTCAACGGGGATTTGGGAGATTTGAACTTACATGCATTGCATATGCTGTGCGTTGGAAGTGTCATGTGTCTAATTTATTGAAGCTCCCGTCTGATTTGTGCTTGCAGGGCCTAGAAACACCGATATACAGCTGAGCTCGCCGCAATTGACCAGCGAGGGGAACATCCGCAAACCTGAAGGCCAGAGATCATCTTGGAATTGGGACAAGAAGAGCTCGAGAGCGACTCGACGACTGCAGAAACTAGTGACTAGCTGCTCCCAGTGGACGAGGGGACCGGTGCTGCAACCGTCAGGCTCCGAACTTCAGGCGAGCCACGGCTGCGGAAGCCGTCACCCACAGGTGAGAACGCCAAGACGACATGAACGTTCTTCTTGACCTGCAACTTCAAGCTTCAACTCCAACAGCATAAAGCACCGAAGCATGGCCGAGGCATCTCCAGCTCTGCAGACCATCTCACAGTCGCACTCGCTCGGTGAAAGATCGGGCGGGCCCTCGAGAGGTAGGCACTGAAGAGGTTGGCTTTGTTCGGCTGCATTCCCATATTCTGACCTGCCGGAACTTGTGCTTACGGACCTCTGTCAATCCCGCGGTGCAGTCACCAAAAGCGGCATGCACTTGCATGGATCCACGTAAATGCACCAGGTGGCCCATGCACCGCTTGCGAACGGGGATGCAGAGCGAAAGTGAGAAAGGAAGACTGAAGAGAAAGTGCAAGTGCAGACGGAGAGCGATAGAAAAGAGAGATGGGAGCGAGAGGAGATTGAGAGAGAGAGAGAGACAGGGCGGGTAACAAAGGCCGAGCAAACAAGAACCCTGAACCCTCTGGCAGACACACAGTAGCAGCTGAGGGCGCAGCATAGTTGGCGACACGCACCGGAGATGGACTCCATGTCCTTCGATCCACGGATCGGGGAAGTATGGTTTAGGCTTTTGGGATCATGCAGTACTTGTTGGGGTTCAAGGTCTTTCGATCATACAGCTGTACTGAAACCGCAAAAACATCTATCGACAAAAAACAGACATGCCATATGGAAAAGACAAGCATACAAACACCTACCTGTGTCTACCTACCTGCCTGCCTGCCAACTTGCCCTAGCTGGTAGCTAGCTGGATAGCTACAAACACACATGCATAGATACATACAGACATACTGCAAAAAAGCTTTGAGACACACACATACATACGTACGTACATACAGACAGGCAGACAGACAGACTGACAAACAGAGATATCTACGTAGGTACATATGTACATACGTGCGTACATACAGACATGCACACATACAGACCCACAGACACACAAACACAATACAGGCATACAGACATAAATACAGGAGATACATAGATGACATAGATACATGCAAACACACATAGCTACACACATAAAGTATATTTACATATCTAACTGAACATGTGTGTGTATATATATATATATGACAGTCAGCCAGTCACTAGAGTAGTCGGCTTGGTGGTCCCGCCTCATTGGCATAGAGGTTCGGCACATCGCCACCTGAGCATCAGCTCAACTCTTCGGCAGCTTACATTTGCCCCCAAATGTTTCTCTGAGGTGGCCACTGTTCAGCACGTTGTTGATGGCCTCGACGAAATCTTCCTTTACGATCTGTGTGTCGCCTTGGAGCATGAGCTGCGCCCACGAAGTTTTTGGGCTTTAAACTTTAGCCTGCATGTCTACAGGAGTGACGATGCTGGGACGTGTTGCCGTTGCGAGCACGTGCAGGAGACGCCGTCGGCTTTCTCTGAGGTTCGGGACTCGGGGGCTGGGAGAAGACCATCTGACCGGTCACCGATACAAACGACCCTGTGGCGCATAAACGAGGCCATGCTCACGGTTGTGGCAAGTGACAAAACAGGAAGACCTGCACTTTGTCCTCCACCCCACACTTCATGAGGCACTTCTTGATGTCCTTAGCTCATTCACGGAGCATTGGCTGCATAATGTACCCAATGGTGACAAAGATGTCTGCAGAGTACATTGCATCCGGGTCGCATCCCTGAACTCAGACATGCCATAGCCTGTCGAATCAAGTCCGCTCTCTCCAACTCTGTCAGAAGTGGAGGCGAAAGAGACTTGTTGATGCACTCATGGGGCCCAAGGCTTCATGCTTGACAGCGAATCCATCGTCCCACCTTTGGCCACCTCGATCTGGAAGCACTCACACTCCTCGGCAACAAGTCGGGGACAAAGACAGTTTTATGAAAACTGTAAAGTCTTCGAAAAGCACTAGAATACACTGAGCAGTACATAATACCTGTCTACTATATATGTTGGATATATGTATATTCTCTATATATGATATCAAAGGCTGAAGAGGAGCACTGTCGATTTCGGGACGCCATAGACAAACCACCGGGTGCAGAGAGTTGTCCGATTTGTCTGGATGACTTCTCGTGGCAGTATCCGATCGTCAACGCAGTTGAACATGACGGTTTGCAGTGTGCGTTTATAATGCTGCGTTTTTGGGGACCAACACTGTACAACGGAATGAAAAGGCCAAGGACGCTTTAAAGAAGGCACGATCCATGACGGTCCAACAGCAAAAACAAACGCCTGCAGCTCACAGGGCCTGTGGCAACAACGAAAAAGTTCCCCAGCGGTGCTGTTGTAGCATACTCGCAAAGTCGCGTTTGAATGGAAGCCCTGAAGTCTATGCTTTGCAGCAGGCTTCGTTCATGTAGGTGGACAGCCGAGTCAAGCTTTGGCGCCCACTTCCACCAACCTGTCACAGCAAAGGGATCGAGGAGCTTCGGGATGGCTAGCGACACGACGGTGTAGGGTCATGGGAACAGGGTCTTCCCTTTGGATTGTCATGTCTGTGAATTCGCTGGGATGCATCCGAGCAGGCAGTTTCTTGGTCGTTTTGGACGTTCAGGAAGTTTAAGGCTCGAAGGCTTGTTGATTCATGATGAATCTCAGGGAAGCCGCTCTCAATTGATGCTACTATGAAAACTTGAATCGACAGCGAGCAGTTGACTCCCTAGCGTGGCCCTTCTTCTTGTTTTTTGTGAGGAGTATGCAGACACACATAGCTTTGACATGCGCGCGTATGAATGCCCTTATGTACCAACTAGTTAATAGACACGGATCGAAGCTTGTGCAAGCATCTCGGATATTCGTGAAACATATGCACCTGTGCCTGCACTCCCTCGCTCGCACATAGGCATACACATGTAATTAGTGCATGCTGATCCTTTGACATGTGCACGTCGGCTCCAAAGTCCGTGTCTTTGGGAGGACAATTCAAGTCAGAAGCTATCGTGTCTGAACTGGAGCCGACAGCTCTCGTAACGGCCTTCCTGAAGCTTGCATAAAAGGTCTCGACTCTGGTTCCCAAGCAAGCACCAACATGGCCCAAAGCAAACAGCTAAGACAACCTAAGTGCAGAAACTTTCGGATAACTGCCCTCAAAACTGCCGCTAATCCATCTAGATCATCTTGACTGCTGCAACTGCGCAGACCTGAAACCTTCAAAGAAAACCACGACGAGGGGACTATGCCTTCCCTCTACACGCAAAAGCCCCCCCTGATGCCCCAAACGTAAAGTCCTAAAGCTCTTAACGTAAAGTCCTGAAGCTCTACATAATTAATCCCCGCATCCCTTGAATCTGTCTTTTCGTAGCCCTTCAGTCTTGACATCTTTGTGTTTCTCCTACCGGAACAACCGCGCTAGCACAATGCGCTGTACTATAGGGTGCGACTAAACACGGCACACATGCTTTCAGGATGGGTTCTTCAGCTTCACTCGGAAGGTATGTGAACAGGCAGTCGGGGGTACCCGACTTTTTCCTTACGAACTTCCCCTACACGTATGACACCTCAGACTGTCTGCAACAGCATTACCTGAACCCCTACATCTAGGCTGCTGGCCCCAAGGAGGAGGACGTTGCCACTCGGCTGACTCAGCACACGACCTGGAAAGCAGCTGGTGGAACACGAATAGCTCCCAAGGCCGAGCCCTGCGAGCATGCTGCCTTATACCCCACAACCTCAAAGCTGGAAACAGGGGGCGGGGGGGGGGGGGAGGGGCGGCTCCCATTCAACTTACGGGACCGAGACTGTTGCCTACTTACATACATATGCGACAGTCGCCCCACCATCCCCCTCCAAAGCCCCAGTGATTAACCTTCTTTGCCTGTACTTGTAAATTATAGTCGATCTCGTCTTCTGACTCACCCAACTTCCTCTTATTTTTGTTCATGTCTACCCTCAGGCTCACTGCCTCTACGCTTGGTCATATCATTGGACAACGGAGATATCAGAAACATGCATGTGTCCTCCTCTGTGAACGGTGAAACTTGCACATCCGATCGTGGAACCCTTCAGCGTCAAGGAGAAGTTCTGAAGGGTTCTGCGCCTTTGCTTTGCCAGGTTGCTCCATGCTACTTGCTGTCCGCAGCTAGGGCCCGCTTGCTGGCTCGATAGCTTACGCTTTATTGGATTCATCGCTTTGCGTCTTGGGCCCCAGACATGGAGACCGAAGGTCTCCGAAGGCATGGGTCTATAAACCATGGGTGTGATCAAACTATTTCATTGCCAAGGCAAACTTTAGACCAAGTCTTTGTGGACAGAAAGCTTCGTCAACAGCTTGCCGAACATTCCAGGTCGTTTTGGGAAGTACCGCAGGGCTTGCAATGTAATTTGAAGCAAGGACATGGCAAGGCCAAAATGACAGCATTGCGCGAGAAGTAGATTTAGTCAGTGGAGCGGGACCTCCGAACGGTCGGGAGTCAACCAATCAAACCAATGCATGCATGCATGCATGCATGCATGCATGCATGCATGCATGCATGCATGCATACATGTTATGCATGTGTATGCCTCTCTATGTGTATATGTATGTATGTACGTATGTATACATATACATATATATATATATATGTACACATACACATGCCTATGCAGTAACAAATGTATGTAGGTATCTGTCTACCTGTTCGTGCTTGTGTGTGTATGTGTCTGAGTCGCCGGGGCAAGCATCGAAGTAGGGCATGCACATATGCGAGCGCAGTGCTCGCAAGCGTCCAAGAACATCACCAATGGCATCTGCAAGCTGCTGACCTGAGGTCCCACGTATCAAAGAGGCTCAGGGCTTACGAACCAGGGGTTTGGAAGTACCCATAACAGGGTTCATGGTTTATGGACTAGACTAGGATTTGGTTGCAGCAATCTCTACAGTAGTTATTGTCGAGTTATGGACTTATCAACAAGGATAGCAGTGCACAGATTTGACGAGACCGGCATGGTGCAAAGGCGCAGTTTCAGTCCATGAGTGCAAGACGTCGTAAGAGCCTGACGCTGTTGTATTCCTCCAGGTACTCTTCAATGCACTCTTTCATTGCCTTTCAAGCATGGTCGGGCTGCGTCAGCAGACTACGCACGTCTCAGTCCTGTCGGACTGCTGACCTTCCGCCGCCGTTGGTCTACACGCTGCCCAGCCTGAATGTTGGTGACTTCCTCATAGTACCGCTGGTCAGCCTTGCTTCCAGCGCAGTGCAGCTGTTGCTACTATTTACCTTGTACCTTACTGTGAGGTCTGCGCTGTGGCCAAGGAGTCAATAATAACTACAATCACTTCTGTACATCTGTATGAGGCAACCACCCGTCATGAAAGACTAGTTAGGACATTGGAAGAGGATGTGGGATCACTCGGGCTCAGGTTTTGAATTACAGGACTCCCGCACCACTCAGTACACGCAGAACCGGGTCGATGGCATCCTGATTCAGGAAGGAGGCGAACAGCAGCCTCTCACGCACGAAGACGTTCCTCCGCCAGCTGCGCACTTTGTGGCAGATGTGGCAATGGTTCTGGGTTTCCGGTATGACTACGCGTTCAACAAATCCTGGCCTCAATTGCTCTGGGTAATTTTTTCAAAAAAAGCCTATGCTGCGCAACGCTGCGATGCGAAGACTCACCAAGACTTATCAGATAATGTATGCCGTCTTTGCGTTGGGAGAGCAGGCTGGTCTTTTTGCTACTCGGGATGCATGCATGCCAGCATCTATGAAGGAGCGCATGCAGGTGGAAATGCCTATAGATGTCCATATGTCGTGAGGTAGAGTGTGCTTTTATAGGGTGTATTGGGCTTCCTATAGGAGAAAAATCTCGTATATTTGTCTCAGAAACAAGTTATCAAGATAGATAGGTAGATAGATAGGCAAGTAAGTAAGTAAATGGATAAATACATAGATAGATAGATAGATAGATAGATAGATAGACGAAGGAAGAAAGATAGATAGACAGACAGACAGACAGATAGACAGATAGATAGATGGATAGATAGATAGATAGATAAGGAAAGAAAGATAGGAAGATAGACAAATAGATAGATAAACAAATTCAGATAGATAGATCGACAGATAGATAGACAGCTAGCTAGCTGGGTAGGTAGACGGAAAGATAGATGTTACTGGAAGAAACACATGCCGAGGCCCAGACTCAACCTCGACCTGAAAGTCCTCTTCGAGACAGCCTGGGATCACATCTATAAATCTATCCCGATTTGTAGGGTTCCAGGCATGGTGGCCCCTCAGCCTTGGGAACGTTAGTCGCAGCACAGGTCGCAGTGACGGATGGTGCCGTAGCATTCACCAAACAACCAAGCCGGGACCTTTACTCCGTGCTGCTCCAGACGCCTTGGGCGCGAATCTTGTTAATATGGGGTTGGAAAGCTGGCCTATGGAAAAAATCTCAACACCATCGAGAGGCTTGTGATCTGCTTCTGCATCCAACCCGCATCTTGTTCATCTGTCAGGCGGTCCCCGAAGACCTGGCCCGAACAACCACTCTGTGTAAGCACCTCCTAGAGTTTGAGAGGGTGTTTGAGAGTGGCTGGACCATCTAGCGGAACCTCTTCAGCCCAAAACCCTGCCCCACGTTTCAGGTGACCCCAACGACATGACATCTGTGTGGCTAAAACGTGCTTCGGGAAGTAAGCTTCGGCCAGCGCCCCTGTCGACAAGGTTTGAAGCTGTTTGTCTTGAGTGGTATGATGGGGAAGAGTCCGCTCAAACCGCAGCCCCTCAGCAGCCATTACGTCTTCGGGCGCTTTCGTTTCTAGTTAATCTTGTTTGCTGCAGACATGTACATGACTGTCTCTCTCTCTCTCTCTATATATATATATACATACGTGCATATATACATATATCTAAAGATATATCTAAAGATGTATATATATATATACACACACATGGATCGGTGCTCCTGTGTTTACACACCAAGTAGTATGCGGTTACACAGCGGCAAACGCACAGACGGCGTATGTGATTTGTCCGCCAAGGTCTGTGTAAACATCTGCCGCTACACCTATGCTTGTGGCAAAACTACGTACTATAGACCTGCATCGGCATTTGTATCGAAGAAGAAATGCTGATACTAAGGTAGCAGTTCGTAATGCACCTGTAGCAGTCTATCTGGATCTGTAAACAATGACATAAACACACACGAACAAAGCATAGCGTCCATATACAAATATACACATCTGATGTCACATATAATATATGTATATGTAAAAGAATATTATTCAAAATTATAAGTCTACATACACACAGTTACATACATACAGTTACATACATACAGTTACATACATATACATA